TGAAAAGGTGGTGTCTATTTACTTGTGACCACGCTGTGTATCGTGTAGCTTTGCGCGAAATTCCAAAAAACAAAACAAAACAACTAAATGTTTTGGCTAAATGACGCATGCGTGATTAAATTATCATATCACGTGAACAACATATGTAAAACTAATAATTTATATACGGCACAGATAAAAAAAAAACAATCACATTTTCTCTCTCTGTTGAAATAAAATGGAACAAGTGGGATTGTTTATGTGTAATATATGAAAAGGTGAAAAATAAAATTTTGGTGTGAAAAAAAGTCTAATGTGTAAAATATTCTTAAATATACAATAAATATGTTAACCCTAGAATTTCTGATGGAGGGTCCGTGGAACGTCATCGAGTTTTTAAACACTTTTTTGAAACTATTAAGTTGTTTATGGGTCCACGACTTTTTGATTACAGGGTCCCTGATAGTCATACACAAAACTACCATCAATACTGCAATTAATTCCACCAGTACTGCTGGGGTCCTCTGTGTATTTCACAAATATGATGAATGAGTTGTTTCCCTCGATTTGTTTGCTTAGTTCTCCGTGTTGGATGATTTAACAGGTAAAAAAGATAATAATAAACTTAAAATTACTCAGTAATATGCAACATATGGACGCCACCGGTAGTTAATGTTGTGATTTTCCCTGCTGGATGAACAGAATTATTTGTTTGTTTCGTAATTTTACGGAAAACTACACAAGGGCTATCTACGTTAGTCATCCCTAATTTTGGAATGATTGACAAAGACAGTGATTTTCAATTTCTTTTGTTCCCTTATCTCGACAGATCACAATAGAATCTATACGCTGTCGTTTCCTTTCCTTAATTATGCAACCTCTCCATCCACCGACCACTTAGAAGAAGCCCCCCTCCCTTTCCTTAATTATGCAACCTCTCCATCCACCGACCACTTAAAAGAAACCCCTCCCTTTCCTTAATTATGCAACCTCTCCATCCACCGACCACTTAAAAGAAGCCCCTCAGACCAAGAGTGGTCCACAAAGCCACATATTGAGAACAGCACCCTCAACCAACTTCTGGACTACTCTTACTGAGAAACTAGTGGTATATGACAGTCACTTTTATCGTATACTCACGAACGAATCGTAACGGTAACTGATCGCTCACCATAGTTCCTTGTATTCACAGTCCGGCCACGCTAAAGACTAGACACACCCAGCCCAGGGATTCAAAGAAACTGCATTTGTGGTAAAATTTACATGTACTGAGGAAATATATTGTAGCATCATATACAATAAAATATTTTGTTTTCTACAAATGTTATTAATGTATGCTTTCTCCTATATTATATTCAATCTCATAAGGGAAATGCTCAAAATCTACTATTCAGTTCTTTCTACATTATCATTTCTAAAATATCTGCCAAGGTGGCTATTACTATTGGAAATTACAATTCGGCTTTTGTCTCGTGATTAATATTTAAAAAACCGCTTGGACGCGTCTCTAAATGCGACTGACAAAACGTTTATATTGAAAGCACCCCCTTCTTCTCCTTCTCCTGTGCGTGTATACATGTCCATTGTTGTCCCCTGCTCCTCCTCCTGTGTGTGTGTGTGTGTTGTATATATACATGTCCATTGTTGTCTCGTAAGCTGAAAAACTATTTTTTACAAATTATTCTCAATTAGACCATTATGGATTTTATCTCCGTAATG